TAAAATTTGTTTTTCTCTCTATTTACGGGTTTCTGTTTGTTTTTTTTTTCTTTTTTTCTTTTTGGGTTGTTTTGTGTGTACTTGTTCATTTTTTTGTCTTGCTTTGTTTATATAATAAAAAAAAATCCAAAAAGATTTTCTTAGTTTGGTTTTGCAAGCTTGAAATTTTTAAGAAGTTCTTAGTGCATATTGGAATTTATGAGCGTATCCATTACATGTTAATATGTGTGTGCTTTTTGTGATCATTACTCATTTTAGAGTGTGTGTACTTTGATTAGTATGTCTCATTCTGTAGACACTCTTGGATTAGCAAATATCGGACTTTTCTGCATAAGTGATCAAATTTCTCTATGGACTTCTAGCATTGTGTCTTTTGCTTTTCTAGAGGATTTGACCTATACTAACACATCATGGGTGATGTTGAGTCTCTTAATCACCTTCCATCTTTTTGTATCTCTACAGCTTTCCCTTTAGTTCTTTGCAGTCAAGACATGAGGAAAATGTTACCTCAGAGTCACCAATCAGGCTATCCTTATTGTATTCATGCTTCTCTGGTTCAATTTCCATACCCTTGAGCATGAAAGCCACCAATGAGTGCGCAAAAGAAAGAAAGAAGACTTTTTTTTTTAAAAAAAAAAAAATTATCTGATTCATTGATTGAGAGGGAGCCTCCGCATTTACTCAACAAATACCCCTTGATTCCTAATGTTTTGACTTTCCTAAGTTGTGTTTAGATTCTTTTTCCAAAGATCCTACTATCAGATCATTACTAAGATTTGAATCTAGTGTTTGTCGAACTCTAAGAGCCATACACACACTTTTATCGTGAGATCTATGATTTTCATATGTTGCATCACATTTTTTCATAACGAATCTTCTAGAGGCTATGCACATTGTGTTTTCAAGTAATTGTATTTCTTGGATATTCTTGTGTATTTTAAGATACAAATCTGAAATTCCTTACTTGCTTCACCATATTATTTTTGTCTTTTTCTTTTTGTTTATTGTTTTTGATGTTTGTGGTTGCTTTTAGTGAGGGGGGGTTTGATTTATCATTGCAAGGGTTTTTTAGCATGAACTTATATTGATTAATTTGGTAAGAGAGATTGGCATTAGTTGGTTTGCATGTTGCTATCCATTGCTTATTTATTGCTTATTTCTCGCAGGCTATTAATTTTTACATATTCTTGTCCCTACTTGTGTGGTTTATGCTCTTGCTTTAGTTGATTAAGCTTCTTTTGACAATTCATGACAAAAATGGAGAGAATTTTAACGGAGAAATTTTGAGTGTTTTTGCATTTTCATCTATTCATATTTCCATCTCATGCTTCACGATAATCTTGTCATATGTCTATTGTTTTTTTATATACTCCTGTGGCACTAATAGTTATTTTGTAGATCATGACCTTGAGAAATAAGTTTGTTTTTGTTGGCTGTAATGTGTTGGGGTGATTATGATCTTATTTGTTAGGTGTGTTTTGTCATGAAATTGCCAAATGGGGAGATTGTTAGGTTTTTGTAATTGGCAATCTCGTTTGACAAAACTCCTTTCAGTTGTAATTTTATTCGATCTTTTATTTCAGTGAAGCTATGAGTATTTAGATGCGAATCCAACCCAAATTATGCCTATGTAGAGGAGTTTGTGATCTTAATCCTTTCATATTTGCCACTTCGCTGACTAAGTGCGGGGATCGAGCTACCTAGTCAGCTCAAAATTATTTGACTGCTCAAATGGTCATTTGTGCGTTCGAGCGAAGAAACAGATCATCTAGTATTTTTGCAGAGCACCTAAACTACGGGGAAACAAGTTTGACCACTCGAGCGGTGAAAGTTGCGCTCGAGCGGTCAGCTTATATGTTTCGCACCGCCTTTAGTCACATCGCTCGAGCGGTCAGCTTATATGTTTCGCACCGCCTTTAGTCACATCGCTCGAGCGGTGAAATGTGCGTTCGAGCAGTTTGCGCGATCTTGTTTTTTATAAAGTGCATTGTTCGTTATTTTTAGGATTTGTGCCGTCCAAATTTTTAGAGAGGAACAAGATGCGAAGTGTTTTATATTAGAGGGTGCTTTATGAGTGTTTCCTTGATGGTTTAAGAGTGATCAATGGATCTGTGAACTTCATATCAACATCATCAAGGGTTTGTTTGTTTTTCTTTATTCACAAAAGAGAGAGTTGTTCTTTGGTGGATTTCGAGTAACTTCAGCTTGATGCTTTGGTGGATTTCGGAGTGGCTCATCGTCGTAGATTCGACATCAGCATTGTAGATTCAACGTTGGGCAAAATAATTCTGAGCTAAAGACGGTGTTGGAAGAGGCACATTGAGGTCGGTTCCATTCGAGCGTGGATTCGCTAAGTAATTGAGAATACACTTGCGTAATTTTTTTTTGTCTTCTTTGTGTATTGTGTTGTGGTTTTGGCCCGTGATTTTTTTTATCACAATTAGAGGCACTTCGATTGTGATTTTTTTACGTTAAATCGTTGTGTCGATTTGTCTTTGATTATTTGATTGAGATTGTAATTTGTTATTTAAAATTGAAACATAATCACAAATCGATATCTTAGATTTTTTAGATGGCGCCAAAGTGAGATCAGCACACATGCGACAAGGTTGCTTCCAATTTTTTGGTGTCGCTCCTTCACGGCCTGCCAAACCTCCTTTCGTTCCTTGAAGACTATAAGCACGACAAACAATTTTGCCCCTAACTTGGTCGATATGGATGGTAGAGTCCTCAATCTCACCATATCTTTCAAAGAATGAGATCAGGTCCTCAGTAGTGATGGGGTTGGTGCATTTCATGCCTTAATGGGACACGTAGATCTAGCGTTAGGCAGGATCTACTTCAACTAGCTTGTAAACACTAGCCATCAAATTAGGGCATTTGGACACTGCTTACCTAATGAGCAAAGCCCATGATTCCTTTTGCAAAGCTTCTACCAGGCTCTCAACATGCGTTCCTCTTCCTCCTCTGGTAGTGGTCGATGATTTCGTAAGAGTGGTCATATTTGCATTTACATTAAATTTCCTTTCAAATTTAAATTTTGTTAAAAAAACTTTTCCAAATTTGTTGCACAAAATGAGAACTTGCCGATTGTCCCAAAAATGTTCCCTTAAATTTCAAATAGTTTCCATTCAGTTGAATTTGATGATTTAAAATGAAACAAAAAGAAAAGCAAATGGATTTCTCATACTTATTTTATAGTTTAAGTGAAGTTAAATGTAGACTAATAACGAATGGTGAAGAGAATGACAAGTCCCATATAATTCACTATTTGAATTCTTTTAAAAATAGAAATATTTGGAGAGAAGGGAAAAGTTATTAATTATTAAAACATTAAAATTAATTAAATTATTTGAACTTGATTTATTAAAAATTTACTTGAGATTGACTCGTTATATAGTCAAATTTAAACAAATTTTAGAATTTCTTAATTTATGAGCTCAACTGAAACTCGGTTTGATAAAATCATATTGCATTACAAAAAATCATACTATTTCAGCTTAATTCAATTAAAACTCATTCGAGATAGATTTGTGATTAAGGCCGAATTGTATAACATTGAGGCCGTTAATTAGGATCTTTTAACTTTACTTGCTTGTCAAACTGTACACATTATGTGTATTTAATGTCAATCAGGTTGTATATAGTCGAAGCATAAAAATAGGCCAACAGACAGAATTTGGAGAAAAAAACAGTTTCCCGCATGTGCGTTGACTTTGTCCGCACGTGCGTTGACTTTCTCGCACGTGCGTTGATTTTTTCTGGGAAAATGTGCCCAATGTTTTCAACCTGTTTGAAAGATAGCAGAAGTATAAATAGGAAAGAAAAAGGCTGGATTAGGGTCCTGAAGTAGTTTTTGGCAAGAAAAGAGAGGCTAGGGTTTCAAGAGGTGATTTTCTACAAAAAGCTTGAAGGACACTTCCATGGGGTCTTCTTTCTCATTTTTTTCCTCTTCCCACTCCTCCATGAGTGGCTAGTCTCATTTTCTAGGGTTTTGATGAAACCCTAGCCATGTAATTAGGTTTTTCTTTTTGATTTTTAATTATGTAAAGGTTTGAACAATTGTATGGTGTTTTAAAAATTTTATATATTTATTTTCTATTATTTCTTCAAATATTCGGCTTTCTGTGATTGTTGAATGTTTTCCATACAAGAGTTTTCTATTCTTTCACATTCAAGGTATGAAACGGACCATACTACGAGGGACGAGTCGTGTCACTACCCTAGTTTAGAATGAACGATTCGTACTACTTGAGATGGTTTGTGCTCGTACATTGAACGTGATGATTTTCTTGTTAAATGCGTTGAACTTGTAGCTGCAAGCATTATCTCATTCGAACCATAACATAATTGATTTCAATTGGAAACCCTATTTACGTGACTAGTGGTGGACTCTTTGTCCTAGGTTTTTCCTCAATTCAGTAAATCCAATTTTATTTATAATTGTTAATTTAATTACTTAGTTTAATTTATTTGTTATTAAATTAGGTTATGAACAATCAATCTTTTCATCAAAATTAATTTAGGAATTTAACAATTAAATTAGTTTAATTTCACAATTGTCACTGTGGATCGATACATGGACTTGTCATTATTCTGATAGAATTTGGTATAGTTTTGTGTTTAATTTTGGTGTGTGTAAGCGACCCATCAATTGAAAAATAAACAATTCAAACTTAAACAAATTATAAAACTAGTTAAGCTTTCTAATCAAATTTAAACAATAACTTAGCTTCTTTAGTTACCAATTTTATCCCCAATTTTTGCAAGAATTGATTTCTTTTAATCCCTCTTAGGGCGTGTTTGATAATCAGATTCAGCACTCAAAATTGAATGTATTAAGTGATAATCAATTAAACTCGTTTGATAACCACAATTTATTACTTAAAAATTTAAGTTCCTCTCAAAATATAGGCTAAAATTTAATTTTTTTTAAGTCATATGAAATTTATTTAATTCTGACTGAATTTATAAATACTTAATATAAGTATCAATATACACTATTGCAAAGTCACCACCACTATCATGCCAACGCCACCACTACCATCATCGCTACTGCTACTGCTACCGCCGCCACCACTACCACAACCATCACCATTATGCCACTGACAACACTATCACCATCGCTATTGCTACCACCACCATCGCTGCTACTACCACCACCACTACCATGCCGCCGCCACCACTACCACCACCATATTGCCGCCACCACCACCATCTTCATTACCATTGTTATTGCTGCCATAAGCACCACCATCATTTTACTACTATGACCATCGCTGTTATTACCACCACCACCACCACCATCAACGTTACCGCCGCCGCCGTCTCCGCCTCCTCCACTATTACTGCCATCACAATATCAAAATTGAAATATACAATTTGAAAATAATAAATTTTAAATTTGATCTTATACATATCAAACAACTTATTTTTAGTTCAACACCTAAATTTTTATCAAATAACTTTTCAACTTAAAAAATTTAGCATTTGGTTTTCAATACTTAATTTTTAATTTTCAATTTTCAGTTTTCCGCTTTATCAAACAGCACCTTACTAGTATCATTCAGCTTGTTTGGTTTTGGTTTCTAGAAAATTCTACTTCTTTATTTTCTTCTCTTTTCTTTTCTTTTCTTTTCTTTTCTTTTTTTTTTTCAATGGATTTTTTTTAATATTTTAAGTAATTTTTGAAATTTTTAGACATGCCAAACATAAATACACTTGAAAGATATAATATTTGTGAAAAAAAATCTTTAAAAAATTCACTAAATACCAAAAATAAAAAAAAATAAAAAAATAAAAATCCAGTACATTTTTCATATTTTTGTGTATTTATTAATTTTTGAAAATATTTTTTCACAAATATTTGACTATTTAGATACATCTAAATAAGGTGCATCTAAAAAAGTAAAAAAATTACTTAAAATTTTAAAAACATTTACTAAAAACAAAAAATTTAATTTCTAAAAAACTAAATTCAAAAAATTAAAACCAAATACACTGATTAAAACTTCTGTTCTTTTGTTTTCTTCACTCTCCTCCGACTTTCCAAAAAAGAGGAACCCAACACAATCGGCCATCTTATTTTCTCTCATAAATTATCCAACAATAAAAGAAGAATACCACTATCCATAGTTGCCCTTTCATTTGGGCAAATTACATATACCCCTCGAGGTTTGGCTAAATTACAAATACCTTCCTGAGATTTGAGAAATTACAAATTCTCTCCTGAATGCTATATTTACATAACAAATTAGGAGGTAATTTGTTATGAAATTTAAACCTTAAGGGACAAATTGTTATGAAAATTCAAACTTTAGGGAGCGGGATGTAATTTCTAAAATCTCAAAAGAATATCTGTAATTTAGCCAAAGCTCAAGAGAGGTATATGTAATTTGCCCTATTCATTTCTACCCAACCCTTTATATTCTTTTCTTTCCTAGTTTTCCAAAATGGACCAAGCAAATAGTGGAACCAATCCAAGGTAGGCGTATAAATCTAACCTCTGAACGGCCCAAGGCTTTAATTGCAATGGGGTGTAGCTTAAGATTGGATTAGTTATCCGAAAATTGGGCCGAATAAAAATAATCACCTACTCTTTCTTATTTATTTATTATTTTATTTTATAAAAAAAACAAGCAATGGTAAAGTGTACCGAAGTGTTTAGGAGGGAAGTGTCTGTGTAAACAAAAGAATACAAAGTTTCTTCAATTGAAAAAAAAAAAAATAAAAAAAAAAAAAAAAAAAAAAAAAAAACAAAGGCTGGAAGTATTAGTTATCAAAGGAATTGCATCTGACACAATACACTTTAAAACCATTTCATGGATGGGAAATTATGTTTGTAACATTTTACACAAAAATCAAACACAAAGCACAAAAAAAGAAAATAAAATACATATGAATAAGATTTGTAGTTGAGATCTTATTAATCTAATGTATATTTTCGATTCTATGTTTCTAGACCTATTGAACCACCAATTCTTAACACTTTGCTCTGCCTCGAATTTATTTGTTGAATCCCATTGACTACGTGTTGATTTCACATTCCCAAACACAATTTAATTATAGTTCTAGACTTGGCTTTCAAACCATCCTAGGCATTAATAAAGGGGGTAATCTTGTTGAATAATATTATATGCACAAATTAGTAAACTAACAGATGATATGATATAATTTTAAAAGTTTTGAATTTTGTAATAGGTGTGGTCATAGTTTTAAAATGATAATGTCATGATTATAACAGTATACAATATATTAATTGGTGCGCGTAATACCACCGAATCTTGTTGGGGATAAACCCCATATTAAAAATTTTAATACTCCGATAAAATATGAACTCATATGTTATTAGAAGCATACCCAAATAAATATATGTACAAACAAAATACAAACATAATATTTAATGTGATTCGGCAATGTCTACATTTATGGGAGAGATAAATATTTTATCTATATAAACAAAATAGAGAATACATGTGAGATGGCTAGAAAAATACACAAAAGTCACACCATTAATCAAATCTCATGTCAAGGTAGTTAAGTTCTTGCTCACTCCAACACCATTAATCAAATCTCATGTCAAGGTAGTTAAGTTCTTGCTCACTCCAATACCCTACGGTATTTTTTCTCACTTTCATTTGCACCCTATATATCTCTATTTGATAGCTCTCACTTTCATTTTCATCACAACTGGAGAGAGACTCCATCTCTCTCTCAATGGAGAGATTTCATTTTAAATTTAGTCTTTGTAATGGAAAACATCACAATCTGATTGAAAAGATACACAAACGATACACCGTTTGGTCTTTCCAAAACCAACAACCCATGTACCAAAATAATCACCGAACAATCTTTGCAAGACCCAAAGTCGGTTGGCACAATACACACTGCTCAAACAAAGTGGAAAGCCCATTTAGTGAGGTTCTGCAAATTTACTTTTTCCATACCGACGTTTGACCTTCAAACTTGGTGGCACCATTAGTACTTCTAGCAAAGCCTCAATTCACACATAATCTTATCAACCATACATGCAATCAAATCAAACAATGCATGTGTCCACTTAATACACCACCTCCAACTTGGATTCCCAAAAACTATTTTCCTTAATTATTTATGTGGATAGTCTCTATATTTTGTTTTTCATATTATTTTAATTCCTATATTTTTTAATTTTTACTCTAAATTTTAGATTTTATATTAATTTAATCGATTAATAATACCGTTAGTATTTTTGGCGAAAAATTATCACTAAATTTGTAAAGATTAACTCATTAAATTGAATAAGTTTATAATTTTGTTCCTACAAATGATATATACCACTTATATGCTTATTTTCTATTAAGAAATACTAATAATTATACTTAATTTGACTAAATTGAGACAAAGTCATAAATTCAAGATTAAAATCTAATCTATTGAAATTACAGGAACCAAAATGATATAATAACCAAAATACACAAACTATCAAGGTAATTTGCCCTATTTATTTTATCTTTTCATATTCACAAAAAAAATCTCAACTGATAAAATCTCTTGTATGAAGTTTCAACTGCCACCAATCACTCTCCCTCCTCTTTTCCCATCACAAAAGCTTGAATGCTCACTTATGGCACCATCAAGGCGATTCATTACAAAAAAATTAAGATTTTAGAGATAAAAATTTAGAGACGAAATTACTTTTTAAGACAAAATATTTTTGTTATTAAAAATGTCGTTATTATATTTTTGGTAACAAAAATTGGGCATTAGTGATGAATTATTATTCTTTTGGGACCAAAATTTTTGTTTCAAAAAACTTTTTTGGAATCAAATTATTTTGTCTTTACAAGTGCATTTATTAGTGACATTTTAAAATATAAAAAAAATTGCCAAAAGTCTTATTTTTCACTTTTTGGGACTATTTTCTAGCGAATGTCCTCACGACGATAGAAATTAGTCCCTAAATATTTTTTTGTAATAAATTTTTCACTTTTAGAGATCAAAAAATTTAGTGTCTAAATCTCTTTTATAGTGAATCCATACAATTTCTCTAACCCTTCTAGCGCTAGCTCTCCGGCACTAACTAAAAGTGGACTAATGTAAGCTTTATTAGCTAATAGGCTATGCAAATCCTTGTTTTTTTGGTTAAAAGGTGTTGAATCATTCACATTCTGGACATTGTACATGCTATATAGCTTCTTGTTGTTATCATTCTTTCGAAAGAAGTCCACATTCTATCCTGGCCCTGGCCGGTTGAGCCAAGTCCAAATCTTGGGAAAACTTTACTGTATAAGAGGTTTGCAAAGATCATTCAAGTTGGAACCATAAGGACTAGTTGTGGTGTAGTTGTCCTCGTTGTGACGAAAGGCAAAGTAAATTCTAAAATATCTTCCTTGCATTATAATGAGAGATTACAAATCATATTTATACACCAGTACAGTTAACAAACTAATTAACCTAACCACACCTCTAACTAACTACACATCATCTAACTAATTAACTAACTAAATCTGTTACAATCTGTTAAAGAATATTGTCTACAGCACATTACACTTGATGGACCAGCACATTACACTCAATGAACCTCTTGGACCTCTTCCTTATCATGCCCCCTCAAGCTGAGAGGGGGACGACCAACACGAAGCTTGGAAGTGAGAAAAGAAAATCTGGTAGTGGATAGAGACTTTGTGAAGATGTCAGCCAATTGATCCAAAGAAGGAACATATTTGAGAAAGAACTGGCGACGAGCAACCTTCTCACGAATGAAATGACAATCCACTTCAATGTGTTTAGAGCGGCTGTGAAAGACCGGATTAGCAGCCAAGGACAAGGCAGACATGTTGTCATACCAAAGAACAAGTGGAGATGGGTGAGGAATTTGAAAATCAACAGGAAGCGTTTGTAACCAAGTGAGTTCTGCAGCAGTGTGTGCTAAGGACCAATATTCAGCCTCGGTCGAGGAGCGAGACACAGTGGACTGTTTCTTGGAGGACCACAAAATGAGATTAGAACCCAAGAACACACAGTAACCAGAGGTGGAACGGCGGTCAGTGGCATCCCCAGCCCAATTGGAGTCAGAATAGGCTGTGAGATGAAAAGAACTAGGAGCAAAGAGAAGACCATGAGAAATGGAGCCTTTAATGTATCGTAAGATACGTTTCACAGCAGAGAAATGGGCCACAGTAGGGGCATGCATATGTTGGCAGGCTTGGTTGACAGCATAAGAGAGCTCAGGACGAGTGATAGTAAGATACTGAAGGGCACCCACAAGGCTGCGATAGAGAAAAGGTTGGGAGAATGGGAGAGAATCAGCAGCAGTAAGAGACGGTTTAGCTGATGTAGGTGTAGCACATGGCTTACAGGTAGTCATGCCAGCTTTAAGAAGAAGCTCCAAGGTATATTTCAGCTGGGAGAGAAAGAAGCCTTGAGCAGTGGACTGAACAGAAATACCTAAGAAATAGGAAATATCCCCTAATTCTTTCATGGAAAAAACATTGTGCATTTGAGTTAATAAGGAATGAAGGTAGGATGGATCAGAACCAGTAAGAAGAATGTCATCGACATATATAAGAAGAAAGGTAATGGAAGAAGAGGTAGAATGAATGAAGAGAGAAGAATCACAACGACTCTGAA